AGTGTGATGTTGGTGTTCAAAGGATGAGGTATGGAGTCGACAGCATGGTGCGTAGGTGGAGCACCTCGCTGTTCTGCTACCAAGTGTGATGTTGGTGTTCAAAGGATGAGGTATGGAGTCGACAGCATGGTGCGTAGGTGGAGCACCTCGCTGTTCTGCTACCAACTTTTCTAAACTATCCAGACGTCGAGTGACATCATCAGGAAGAGGTTGCTGAGCTGGTGCTATGTGAGATTGGCCTTGAGATTCACTAAAAGCAGGAGCATGCTGAACCAGTTCAGGATTCTGTTGTGGAGCTGGGGGTTGTGGGACAGGGTTGAGTAGATGGATGAGGGGATCACCAGGATTATTTCGAGCTAAGAGCTGAGCTAATACTAGCTGAAAAACACCAAACTGCTGTTACATGGTAACAAGCTGAGCTGTAACTACATCTTGGTTGGCGGTAGAAGTTGAGTTGTGAGCTGAGGTATGAGGTTGGTTTTCATCTCCTCCTTATGCATGATCAACAAGAGGGAACATAGTCAAGACTTAAGGTGGAAGCTGAGGTGGGAGCTGGGGTGGAAGGTTGCTGGGGAGTTGAGCTTGCCCAAGAGGCAGAGATGAATTGCCAGCTCTGACTGATCGAGTGTTAACCATTATGAAAGGGCAACAAGAAAGCTTTCAGTTCGGATTCCCATAGACGACGCCAAATGTAATTGCACCAAACTAGAAGTCCCTCTTCAGTCCACGTCTGCACTCCGGATTGACCTACAAAGCCCCGAGGTGGAACTTGGGGTAGACACTCCGATGCTTAAGTCAGCAATAATCGAGGCTACCTTTAGAGTGGAGATAAAAAGAGCTTAGGGTTGGTTTCAATTACCTTTTTGACATGGCCCCTGGGGGGTATTTATAGGCTTCAGTGAGGAACCCACGTGGCATGCCAAGCAAGATAATCGGAGTGTGACGTGTCCCTTGAGGAGATAAACTCGGGACCGGCTACAAATTTGGGACCGGAGAGTTATGCAATAAATCAGGTGTGGATATGCCCACTGTATTTATCGTACAGCCGTTTGACCATAAATGTTGGGTTTAACTTCATTTCGGTTATCAAGGAATTGTTATAGTACGTCCGAGGTCTTTAACCTCGGACTTATCCTTACACTGTTGTTTGGCAAAATTATAGTTGGTGTGGGATCCAATCACAATGACCCAATAAAGTCTCAATCTTATCCATGTCATTGATTTTTTTTATACTAACCTCCCAATATCTGACAATCACATTGGATTCTAACTATTCAAAATTGAGTCATGTCAAACCCCATAAGGGAGGAAGTTCTAAATGTTTGTTTCTCCATTCACAATGTTCAAACTTGAGACCTTACTTAAGGACTCTGAAATTCTTCCACTCAGACCAACAAATCATTGGTTTTCCATGTCATTGATGACAAAGCAGTTTTGTTGACAAAATAAGCATCTAGTGTGAGTCACGAAACTATGAAGTCTATGTTACCATTCCATCCAACAGACCCTTGTATAATAAAAAGACATTAATTGATATACTCTTTAATTTAACATACTGTACAATATATTTATTAATAATTCATTATTTCTAAATCTAAAATTAAAGATAAATAAACATAAAAATATAATCATACATATAGTATGTAAGAATCGATTAAATTAATTGTACTTATATTATATTTTAATGATTGAATCAATTGTTTAAAAAGTATGTCAAACCGTAGGGTGTACCAATTATTTTTTATAGTAAAATTAGAAGTTTGAATCATTGAATAAGAAAGCTGGAAAGTTGAAATCCTCAATTAGGAAAAAAAAAGGTTTGAATCCTTAATTAGTAAACTTTTAAAAGTTGAAGTCCTTATCTTTACAATTTCTCCATAAAAACCGCATCACCGCCTTCACTCACAGGTCCCAAAAGAGTAATCATATGGTAGTCCACTATTTTCAACATCAATAATAAACCAAATAATAACACATTTAATCAACTTTTCCTCACGGTCAAAATTCAATCCATCCTCATTATATGAAGAGAAATGGTTCATCCTTGTCAAGCATGAGAAACAAAGAAAGCAGGAGTTGAAAAAATGTACCTTCTTCTCTGTGTATGCATGCGCAAGTGATGATCGACGAGTCTAGTCAATCCCACCGAACAACCGTGTCATGATCTTTCAAACCCTAAAATTAAGAAGTACATAACATCATTAAGCATATAATTGATGATGTGCAAGTGATGTCCACCAATGCTTCTATAATACATACATAAAGTTCACTAATTGCTGGGAAGATACTGAACTCTTGATAGAGTAATCTTTGATTGCAATTTTCAGTACTGAGTCTTGCAGAGAAGCTGGAAATTGTGGCTAGTACATACCATAAAAGTAGAACACACCAATGCCCTTATTGATAAGAACTAATTCGAACTTTTTAGATCTCTCGACAAATAGGCATCTATAAGAATTTAGCTTATTGACTTTCCGAACAATATTATAAGAATAAGAATGATTAAAATAATCTTATAGCACTTTCTTTCATTTCTTTGTTTTTTTACCGTGAATAGTGACTCATTTGAAGAGTTGTATTAACTATATAAAAATATTTTTTTAGTACGGTTACAAAAAAAAAAAAAAAAGTGTAGTCTAGTTATTGATTACCAAAAGACTCTTAATAAAACTTTTTTTCATGTTTGTTCATTAATAATTTATTATTAATTTCAAATATTTAAGCTGTATTTTTGTGTAGTCCATACTTAAAAACACCAATATGTTAACTATATGTAAAAATAAAAAAAACAAAAGGAGGTGGTCCCTAACGAGCTAAAAAGCTCAACTATAACCTTAAGAATAAAAGAGATTTTGATTCTCAAACTAGGGCTGGTAGGGACTGATTGAGTGAACAGAACAGGAAAATGGGCAGAAGAGCCAGCTATAACCAAGTAAAAAAAAGGGGGCAAAAAAAGGGACCAAAAGAGGGCATCATCACCTCTCATGCCATTAACCCATCAGGGATACTTGATGTTGTTTCATTGTGGGCCTCCCATTTATATTCCCCCACTATTGTTCTCTTTTCTTTCAGTGGGTAACAAACAGCACTCTTATTCCCCCCAACTGACCTACATCATTGACTCCCTTTCAAATTTCAGACATGGGACCCTCACTCCCTGCATAAAAATATCTATAGCTTGTCAGATTGCCTCAAACATTACTTTAGATTCTATAATCTCAGAGATTTTAGCCCTAAATATAGGAAAATTGAGGGATAATTCTCAGTCTTTACTCACAATCCCACATGAAAGGATAGAGGTGAACCAATTACTAATCATGATGGAAGGCAGACTCCACCTTTCATTTGAGATTTGTGAATCAATCCCATATGAAATATCACATCTTATTTATTATATCCAAATAAGAATAAGCAGTAACGGTACACGATTTTGTATAATTAATAAAAAATTTCAAAATAAACATTGTACCCAAAAAAAAAAATTCAAAATAAACATACATAAATTATACTAAAAGAGAGTGAGATAATAGAATAATACAAAATTGTTGTATTTCAGCAATTTAAGCCTACATGTACCTTGCTAATAACAAAATAAGAAAGATTACAATGGAACACAAATGAAGTTATATGGTAAAAGATATCTATATGCACGAATGACAATATCAGTAATCTAACTAATTAACAAGATTAGAAACTTCTCATCCTCTCAAAACACGCAACTTTTGTGTATAAACAGAAAAACTTTTAAATTCCAATCTGCAGCATATTCAAAATAACCTTTTATCATTCAAGTTGAAGATGAATTTAGTATTCATCTGGGCGTATAACTTGTTGCCTTTTATCAGAGACAAATAAAATGGTCCAGGTGGATGACTGAGATATGTAATGTAAAGTCACCTACCATGTATCAGTATCTGATATTCTCACGTTTCTAACAAGGAAACAGTCTCCCATGTTCATTCACTAACAGATGGTGACCCTTAAAACCAAATACAGTTCTATAATTTAAAAATAAAAAATAGTTTCCCCCCCCCCCCCCCCCCCCCTAAAAGATCTGATCTTAGATAGGGCTTGTCTGTGGGTCCTCTCCCTTTTGACCAAAAGTCAATCGGTCCTAGAAAATTTTTCTTTTCCCCTTCCACAGTTTCTACTACTCAAAAACAGAACAGAACCGTAAGAGTAAAGACATACAGGCATATACCTCTGAGCTTAATTGATTTGGTACATACTAACTCTGAAATTTTAATTTTGTAATTATGACCAAGGGTTTGAAGTTTTTTAGTAGTTATTAATTAAGCACTAAGTTTCTGTTAATTAACAAAAAAAGAAAAAAAAAAGAGGAGAGAAAATAAAAGAATGGACTTGGACCTCCCAACATCCAAATTCCCTCCTTTTGTTATTCCTTACCCATCTTCCCTCCTTTTTCCATTTTATAAACATAACAAAAGCAGCTTCTTTTTCTAAAGCTTACTTAAACTTTGCAACAACAACAAGTTTTCATCATATTCACCACTCCATCTCTCTCTACACACTACAGTGCTCTCTTTCCTTTATTCTTTCCTCTCACATTCTCATGGTAACTATTTCTCTCCCAAATCCCAACTAAGTTTCTGCAGATTTGTATCTTCAATGGAGAGCAACCCAGTTCAACTTTTCTGTCTTCTTGCTCTAGTACTCCTCTTTATGGGGCAACTTTCAGATTCTGCAACTGAACAAGGAGTTCTTTCTTCCAAAACTGATGCAGCAGCTCTTCTGGCATTCAAGAATATGATCCAAAAGGACCCGAACGGAGTCCTTTCAGGGTGGAAGCTTGCAAGGAACCCATGCACCTGGTATGGAGTCTCATGCTCACAGGGAAGAGTCACTCAACTTGATCTTAGTGAGTGTTATTTTATAGGAACTATAGTTCTTGATCCTTTGGCATCTCTGGACATGCTGTCTATTTTGAAGTTATCTGGAAACTTTTTTACCATAAACTCAACTTCCCTGCTTCAACTCCCATACGGATTGAAGCAGCTTGATTTGTCTTTCTCTGGACTTTCTGGTCTGGCCCCTGATAATTTTTTCTCCAAGCATTCAAACCTGGAATATGTCGATCTTTCTCATAACAACTTAACAGGTCTTCTACCTGAAAGTATTTTGTGGAATTCTGATAAGTTGCAGGCTCTTGATCTCTCTTACAACAACCTCACAGGGTCCATTTCAGGCTTGAAATTCGAGAATTCTTGCAATTCCTTGTTGCACCTTGATCTGTCTCGAAACAGCATCATGGATTCCATTCCCCTCTATCTTTCAAATTGTACAAATCTCAAAACTTTGAATCTTTCATTCAATTTGCTCACAGGAGAGATCCCGGGATCACTGGGGGAGCTCAGAAGTTTACGGATATTGGATCTTTCTCACAATCACCTCATTGGTTGGATTCCTTCCGAGCTGGGAAATTCATGTGGCTCACTTCTAGAGCTTTGTCTTTCTTATAACAACATTTCAGGCCCAATCCCTATTTCGTTTTCTTCCTGTTCTTGGCTGAAAGTTCTAGATTTATCCAACAACAATATATCTGGCCCCCTTGCAGATTCTATGCTTCAGAATCTTGGTTCACTGGAGAGATTAATGTTGAGTCACAACATCATCTCTGGATCATTTCCCACTTCCATTTCATCATGTAAGAGTCTGCGAATTGTCGACCTCAGTTCCAACAAGTTCTATGGTAGAATTCCACCAGATATATGTCCAGGAGCTGCTGCACTTGAAGAGCTGAGAATTCCAGATAATCTCATTACAGGAGAAATCCCGTCTCAGTTATCACAATGTCCACAGCTGAGAACAATTGATTTCAGCTTAAACTATCTCAATGGTTCAATTCCAGGAGAACTTGGGAAGCTTGATAATCTTGAGCAGCTGATGGCATGGTTTAATGACTTGGAAGGGAAAATTCCACCAGAATTAGGGAAATGCAGAAGCTTCAGAGATCTTATTCTCAACAACAATCGCCTCAGCGGTGAAGTTCCTGTTGAACTGTTCAACTGCAGTAATCTTGAATGGATATCTCTGTCAAGCAATCAAATCACTGGCACTATCCCTCAAGAATTTGGCCTTTTGTCAAGACTTGCTGTTCTACAGCTTGGAAATAATAGTTTGACTGGTGAGATACCGAGAGAGCTAGCAAACTGCAGCAGCTTGGTTTGGTTAGATTTGAACAGCAACAACCTCACAGGAGAAATCCCCCCTCGCCTTGGCCGGCAGCCTGGAGCAAAATCATTGAGTGGAATTCTTTCTGGCAACACCTTGGTGTTTGTAAGGGTTGTGGGGAATTCCTGTAAAGGAGTTGGAGGGCTCTTGGAATTTTCAGGAATCCGACCTGAAAGACTGCTACAGATCCCAACATTAAGAAGTTGTGATATCACTAGAATGTATTCTGGACCAATCCTCAGTCTCATCGCACAAAATTACCCAACATTAGAGTATCTAGATCTGTCTTACAATCAGCTCCGCGGCAAGATTCCAGACGAATTTGGAGAAATGGTGGCATTGAAAGTTCTTGAATTAGCACATAACCAGCTATCTGGAGAGATTCCTTCATCATTTGGCAATCTAAGAAATTTAGGTGCCTTTGATGCTTCATATAACAGGTTGCAGGGCCAAATTCCAGAGTCATTCGCAAACTTGTCTTTCTTGGTGCAAATTGATCTTTCAAATAATGAATTGACAGGGCCAATTCCACAAAGAGGGCAACTCAGTACACTTCCAGCAAGCCAATATGCAAACAACCCAGGACTTTGCGGGGTTCCATTGCCCGAATGCCGGAATGGCGATAATCAACCAGCTCCCAATCCTGATTTGCAAGGTAGCAAAGGACACAAACCAGCTGTTGCTTCATGGGCAAATAGCATTGTCTTAGGGATTCTCATTTCAACAGCTTTTGTTTGCATTTTGATTGTGTGGGCAATTGCAATGCGAGCAAGGCGAAAGGAAGCAGAGGAAGTCAAGATGCTTAATAGCCTACAAGCTTCTTATGCGGCCACAACATGGAAGATTGATAAAGAGAAAGAACCACTGAGTATCAATGTTGCAACATTTCAAAGGCAGCTAAGGAAGCTCAAATTTTCCCAACTTATTGAAGCAACCAATGGTTTCTCAGCAGCAAGCCTTATAGGAAGTGGTGGATTTGGAGAAGTATTTAAAGCAACACTGAAGGATGGTTCAAGCGTTGCAATTAAGAAGCTCATTCGATTGAGCTGCCAGGGTGATCGCGAATTCATGGCTGAAATGGAAACTTTAGGGAAGATAAAGCACAGGAATCTTGTCCCTCTATTAGGTTATTGCAAAGTCGGTGAGGAAAGGCTTCTTGTTTATGAGTTCATGGAGTATGGCAGCCTTGAAGAAATGCTCCATGGAAGGGCAAAGACACGAGATCGACGGATCCTAAGTTGGGAGGAAAGAAAAAAGATTGCAAGAGGTGCTGCCAAGGGACTCTGTTTTCTGCACCACAATTGCATTCCGCATATCATACATAGAGACATGAAGTCAAGTAATGTGTTACTTGACCATGAGATGGACGCCAGAGTATCGGATTTTGGAATGGCAAGGCTCATAAGTGCTCTTGACACCCATCTAAGTGTAAGCACATTGGCAGGTACGCCTGGTTACGTCCCACCAGAGTACTACCAAAGTTTCAGGTGCACGGCGAAGGGCGATGTATACTCATTCGGAGTTGTCCTCTTGGAACTCTTGACAGGAAAACGCCCAACTGATAAAGAGGACTTCGGGGACACCAACTTAGTTGGCTGGGTTAAAATGAAGGTGAAAGAAGGAAAACGAAAGGAAGTCATGGACCAGGAATTACTATCGCTAAACAAAGGAACCGATGAAGCTGAAGCTGAACTTAAAGAGATGGTCAGGTACTTGGAAATAACACTGCAGTGTGTGGATGACTTCCCTTCCAAAAGGCCTAATATGTTGCAGGTGGTGGCCATGCTAAGAGAGCTGATGCCTGGATCAGCCAATGGAAGCAACAACAGTGCATGATAAAAGGGTATCGTTCTCTCAATATGATTTGTGTAGCAAGATAAGTGTTTCAATATATGTTGCGTTTTTGATGTACCTATTATGCAAGGTTTAATTTTGCTTTCATTATAAGTATCAACAGTGAGAGCAGATATATTGACATATAACTATAAAGAACAGCAAATCTTTATGATTAATCGCCCAACTGAATCGGTACAGACAATAAAGAACGGATAAAACTTCTTTGAGGCATATAATCAAACAAGTTGCAGACGTAACGATGGAATCCCATATTCAAAGAACGTGCTAAATAAAAACACAACTTTTGTTCATATTCCACTCATTAATTATTATTATTATTATTATTTTTTTTTGTTGAGACTCCATCTCTCACCTTCTCCTCTCATATTTTATGTCAGCATTTTGCCCAATTCGTCTGCATTGAATTTAATTAGTTGTTTATTAATTGTAAATTTTTGTATCGATAATTATTAAAAATATATATTAAATTATTATTTTTATAATTAATGCACTGCCTTGAATTGTATATAAAGATGGAAGTGTGAGTGTAGTAAAGACCAACCGCTATTAACTAACTTAAACTTTTTGAGAAATTGTAGAGTTTAGTTTGAAGAGTTGTTAATTAGTGATGGGTTTTGGCTTTGGTTGTTTTAATTAATAATTTTAAATATAATGATTTATAAAAATATATAAATAGTAGATATAAAAGAAGATTTAAGTGTATAACTTTTTTTAATTTAACATAAAAATTATAATCAAAGAGAAAATATAAAATAGGTTAAATCCTCATTTTGGTCCTTGAACTATTGTACGGACCCTCGATTTGGTCCCTGAACTAAAGAAATCCCTGATTTGGTCCTTAAACTATTGTACGGACCCCCGATTTGGTCCCCACTGTTTATAATTTAGCCTAAGTTGGTCTTTGAACTATTGTACGGACCCCCAATTTGGTCCTTGAGCTATTGTTTAATAGAAAGACTAAGTTGGGGTTAAATTGGTAAACAGTAGGGACCAAATTGGGCATTCGTACAATAGTTTAGGGACTAATTCGGGAGTCCGTACAATAGTTTAGGGACCAACTCAGGGGTCCGTACAATAGTTTAGGGACCAACTTAGGGGTCCGTACAATAATTCAAGGACCAAATTAGGGATTTCTTTAGTTCAGGGACCAAATAGGAGGTCTGTACAATAGTTCAGGGACCAAAATAGGGGTTTAACCTATAAAATAATATTAATTGATTACATATTTTAACTGAGTTGTAACAAATGACTAAATGGCTTTTAGTATGTATAATCCATATTTAACCGGTTTTGAATATAAGGTCAATGCTTGATTAAATATATTATTTTCACATGCTTGAGCAATCAAGCAATAAATCAAACAATTACTAAAGGCCATTGCTCTGGTACAATATCTTATTTCCAAATAAAAGTCGCCCATTTCCGTTTATTTTATTGTTTTATTTTTTATTATATAAAAGTCAACATTTGTCTTTCTTACATAAATAAATATTTATTATTTCATTAGGTTTATTGAAGGTATTTGGATCTATGCTTTAATAACTAATGATATAGTATTCATATTTCAAGATCCAACAGTGAGATTGTGGTTTGATTGTTCTTATGATTTTGATCCTAGTATTTTACTTACCATTTCTATTTATTTTCTTATTCTGATACTTTTCCTTTTGGTGATTAACCATATTTTCAATTATCTAGGGATTGGAATTGTCATAGCTAACTTAAAAAAATATAGAGCGAATTTTTTTCGTAAATATACATGTAATGCTAGAACAGATGTATATTACTTAAGAGGCTTGGATTTGAGATTTCCATGCTAGTTTATTATAGGCAGCTCGGCACAGTCGGTCAATTACATGGGCATTGCGGGCAGAAAAGAAATAAGTTAGGAAAAAAATTTAACTCTTTCCCCTTTTTTTCCTTAATGTTAATTTAACTCTTATTAAAGTGGCAAAAAGTCAATCTTTAGTTCTTTACTTTATTAAATTTATTGTTTTTAGTCTTTCACCTTATATATTGGATTTTTTAATCCTTAAACTTAAAAATTTGAAGATTTTAACCTTTAAACCAAACTAAAGTTGTTAAGTCTCTGTTATGTGAAATTAATAAAGGTTAAATACCTTTTTTGGTCCCTCTACTATAGGAAAAAGCTTTTTTTTTAGTTCCTATAACGAAAAAATCTCCTTTTTGATCCTTAGTATTTGAAATCCGACTCCTTTTTAGTCGTTCTATTAGTTAAGTGACAACATGGTACAATAATCCATTAAATGTCTTTTTTTTTCTTTTTAATGGTGACATATGATTACACATTGAAAAATTGATGAGTTGACAACCAAATTTATTTTCCATGTAATCAATAGGTCCTAAAATAATTAAAAGAAAAAAATCATTGTTTCCCTTTATCTTTTCATTTCCCATTTATATCCTCATCTTCTTCACGAACCCAAGATGAACCCAGCTCACGAGATTGGGTTGGCAACGAACCTAGCTTGCACCTGGGTTCGTCACAAACCCAGGCACGAGCTGGGTTCTCAATCTCTGCCAAAAAAAAAAAAAGCATGTTCTTCTCAAACAAACAACTCCAGATCCAATTTAATGAGTTGCAATGGGTGCAGCGTTTTGCGAAAGGGATGCAGTGAGTCCTGTGTTCTACGTCCCTATCTTCAGTGGATCAACAACGCCGAGGCCTAAGGCCACGCCATCGTTTTTGTCACCAAGTTTTTTGGCCACTCGGACCTCATCTCCTTCCTTTCCGCCGTTCCGAAATCTCAGCGTCGTAGTATGTCTTTTTTTTTTTTTTCTCACATTTCTCAGATTGGATTTGGATTTTTCAAATTTGTGCTCAATTGCTTGTGTCGTGTGTTGTGTTGTGTTTGTGTTTTAGCGTTGTTTCAATCTTTGCTATTTGAAGCATGCGGAAGGATGGTGAATCCGGTGAACGACGCAGTAGGGTTGCTATGGACGGGGAATTGGCATGTGTGCCTGGTGGTGGTGGAGACCATTCTCCTTGG